TTGGGATTGCTGTGGAACTCCCTCAGAAACAACTCAAATGAATGCAACCCAGGATCACCACTGGAAGTCTTGCCTGGCTACAGTCAAATTCAGATACCATATCATCCATTACTAGGAGTCCTCACTAAGGTCATCCTTATAGGTTCCAAGAACCCTTCCTGGATTAAATTTTCATAACACTGCCCCCCCCCAATGTGTTCCAATTCCAGTTGGACTCCCCACAATCTCTTCTTCTATACCCACACCATCTGATTCCTCTTGTTTCTGTCTTCATCTACATCCAGTCTGCAGAAAATATTTATTTAATTTCTCCTTCTCAAGGAGGTCCATGCATCTCCCTCAGATACTTCCTTTTTACCTAAACTGAGTGTATGAACTGTAGTTTGATTGTCATTTACTTAACAGCTACTAACCACTTATAAATTATTACATGCCCTATTTGTCTTTCTAGTGTGGATTACTTCAGGATGATTTTTTTTTTAGTTCCATTTATTTGCCAACAAATTTCATGATGTCACTTTTTTAACAGCTGAGTAATAGTACATTGTGTAAAGGTACCACATATTTTTATTCTGTCGAGTTATATTTAGGTTAGTTGCAGTTTCTGGCTATTATATATATAACCACAATGAACATAGTTGAGCAATTTTATCTATGGTAGAATGGAGCATCCTTTGGATATATGTAAAAGTGGTATATCTGGGTCTTAAGGTAGGTTGATTCCCAAATTTCTAAGCAACTCCCATAATGAGTTCCATTGTGACTCTACAATTTTTTATTCCCACCAGCAATGGGGAAATATTACACTTGCTCCACATCATCACCACCATGAGCTGTCACTTATGTTATTTATATTAGCCACTCTGGCATGTGTAAGATGAAATGTCAAGAGTTATTTTTCTTTGCATTTCCCTGATAGGTAAGATTGTTGAACATTCTTTAAGTGTATCTCAGCCATTTAAGATTCCTTTATTGAAACTTTTCTGTTTAGCTCTCTACAATATTTTAAATTGGATTATTTTGGTTTTGATACCTAGTTGCTTCAGTTGCTTATGTGTTTTGAATAGTAGGCATCTATTGGATGTGGCATTCATAAAAATTACTTCTCATTTTGTAGGCTGCCTTTTTTCCCAATTGGTAGTTTACTTTTTCTTACAGAAATTTTTCAGTTACATGAGGTTCCATTTATTACCTGATATTCTTAGGGCCTGCACTATCTGTGATCAACTCAGAAAATTGTCATCTGTGCTAATGCATTCAAGGATGATCCATTTTTTTCGTCTATCAGATTTGGTGTGCCTTGTTTTATATTGACGTCTTTGTTCCACTTGGACTTGAGTTTCATGCAGCGTGACGCATATGGGTCTTATCTGCACATATCTAGTTTGAGCAACAGTATTCATTGATGATGCTTTTCTTTTTCCAGTGTGTATTTGTGGTTTGCTTATCAAAATTTAGGTATCCCAAGTTGTGTGGCTTTATGACTGGGTCTTCAGTTGAATACCATTGAATAATGCACCTTATTATGCTAATACCATGCAGTTTTTATTTCTATATCTCTGTAGTACAACTTGAATTCAGAGGTGGTGATACCTCTAGCAGTTCTTTTATCATTTAGGACTGTTTTAGCTATCCTGGGATGTTGTGTTTCCATATGAAGTGGAGATTTTTCTTTCAAGTTCTGTAAATAACTCTGTTAGACATTTGATGGTGATTGCATTGAATAGATAGATTTCATTTGGTAGAATTGACATTTTGACTGTGGTAAACCTACTGATCTATGAACATGAAATATTTTTCATGCTCTGATATTTTCTTCAATTTCATTATCAAAGACTTGAAATTTTTACGTACAACTGTTTCAATTGCTGTGTTTTTATAGAATTTGTGGCTATAATAAGGTGTTATCTCTCTGATTTCTTTCTCAGACCAGTTGTCATTTTGGATATAAGAGGACTACTGATTTCTGTGAGTTTATTTTGTAACCAAATACTTTCCTGAAAGAGTTGATGAGCTGTAGAAGTTTACTAGTGGAGTTTCTTAGGTCACTGGTGTATACTATCATATCACCTATAAATAAATATGTTTTGATGTCTTCCTTTCTAAGTTCTAATTCATGATCTACTTCAATTATTGCTATAGTTAAGATTTCAAGGACTGTATTGGATAGATATGGAGAAAGTAGACTACCTTGTCTTGTTCCTGATTTTAGAGAAATGGATTTTTGTTTCTCTCCCTTTAATTTGATGTTGACTATAGGCTTGCTGTGAATTGCCTTTGTTTTGTTTAGGTATATATCTTTTATTCTTTTTTCTAAATTTTTATTGGATATTTTATTTATTTACAATACAGATGTCATCCTCTTTTCCTATTTCCCCTCCCTATCCCCCCTCCTCCTTTATGTTTTTATATCATTTAAATTACATGCATGTATTAAGGTCAGTTCTAGGTTGAGGGTCTAGCAATACAATAGATGCAAATAGTCAAGGAACAAGCAAGACAATAAACACAAATATTCAAAAAAAGCAAGATATTAAACCCAATTATGTGAACACTCCTATGATCACTGTTCCTAAGGGCTTATCAGGATGACCAAAGTATTGGAGCCTACTTCTCTGTCTTAGACCAAGGTCATTTTAATGTCTAAAGCTTACTTCCTTGTTCTAGCCTAAAATTTAAATTCCTGTCTGAAATTGCTTCTTTATTCTAGCCTATTATTTAGATTCCTGCCTGAGATTACTTCTCTGTTTTAGCCTAATGTCAGATTCCTACCTGAAGCCTACTTCCTTGTCCTTGGCCAATGTCATACTCTTGCCAAGCAGCCCATTTCTTTGTCCTTGGCCCATGTCATTTTCTTGCCAAGCAGCCCCAAAAGCTCTCTGCCTCTCCCCCATTTTTTAATTCATAAACAAGACTGAGCCTGTCTTAGGTTGTTCTGACAAGAATGTCTTCCTTACCCATCATGGAATATGCATTGTCAAAAGCAATGCATTTCTGTCTTAGGTTGGTAAGGCTCTGTGCAGAATCTTACCCAACCTTTACTTTCCAGCTTGTTAATTTAATAACTTTGTCTGGGGGTTCATTTTCAAGTTCAAGCCATGTACTTCGGCTGCCAACATGTTGATGTTGTTTTAAAAAAGCTTTAAGACAATGGGTAGGAATAAAAGTATTCCCAGGACAAAAAGGGCTAGCATGATCAAGCTACATATGCCAATTTTGAAGCTTGAACTAAATAGAAATACTGACCTCAGGCCATGGGTAATTTTTACTGCAGTATCTACCACATCAAAGCTCAGCAGAGCAACATTCTTAAAATTCATAAGCCCCCTATGTAACATTAAAGCATCGTGAGAATTGATAAAATAATGTCAAATACACCGCAAGTGTCATTAAACTTCTTCCTAATTATAATGACTACCACTGTAAATTGTAGAACTAACATGAATCCAATGATATTTGACATGATACTCAAGATGGCTTCTTACCCTTAAATTCTGAACCTTCTTCCAGTAATTTGAATAGGATAAGAACATCAATCCATTCTTCCAAATGCTTATCTAAATCTTCTTGTATATTCAACACATTAGTAACAAAGACAGCTACTTTTGTTATTCCTTTTATTCTTAATTTCTCAGATCTTGAATTATGCAAGGTGTTAGATTTTTTTCAAAGAACTTTACGTTTCTAATGAAATGGTAATATTTGTGGTTTATTTTTCAGTTTGCTTATGATTGATTACATTTCCTGATTTTCATTTGCCCAACTACTCCTGCATCTGTGAGATTAAGCCTAGTTGATCATAACAGATGATCATTTTAATCTGTTCTTAGATTTCATTTTCAATATTTCTTGAGTATTAATATTTCTATGCTCACAAGAAAAATTGGTATGTAAGTTTGTTTCTTTGTTATATCTTTATGTGGTTTTATTATTAGGCTGACTCAGGCCTCATAAAATTTTAGGCTAATGTTCCTTTTGTTTGTATTTTGTGGACTAATTTGAGAAGTATGTGTATTAACTCTTCTTTAAAATTCTGGGAGAATTGTCCTCTAAATCTATCTGTCTCTTTATTTGTTATGGTTTTGTTTCTTTGTTTGTTTGTTTGTTTGGATGTTTTTAGTAACTAATCTATTTAACTAGGAGTTATAGGTCTTTTTAGCACATGTGTTTAAATGTGAGTGTTTGCGTGTCTATATGTGTGTGTGTATGTCTGCCTCTCCAGTGCCAGGATTATAATTGCTGTACTGTATGCTCATAAAAGCTTTGATTTCTGAAACAGAGTTTTTAGTCTGCTGAGTAAAAAATCAGCTGTGTTTATGATTGTATCCAAAACAAAGTATCAACATTATTACACAATCTTTCATAGTTGTGCTATTGTCCATATTTCAAATCTCAGATAAAATTTAATTTTATTAATTCCATTACCTACAATTGCCCTTAATTTATACTGACCTCCAAAAATAATAAAATTAATATAAGTGACTACTATCTCTAAAATTTGTAGAATTCTTCCTTATTTACAATTATGTACCTATAAATACCTATATACAATGTACTTCACTGACAAGTAAAATATCTCAGATATTCCCAGTAATTTTGCATTTATAAATAATGTATGGCAGGCTTAGCATGAGAATATATATTAAAATGATGTGTTCTAATCTGGCTATGATGGCATATGCCTTAATTCTAGTACTCTGGAAGTAGAGGCAGACAGACCTGTGTCAGTTCCAGGCTATGTAGTAAAGGAAAACTTTCATAATCGAATGCTGAGATAAAGAGAAATAGAATTCTCCACATAGAGTAACGTGTGTGTGTGTGTGTGTGTGTGTGTGTGTGTGTGTGTCAGAGAGAGAGAGAGAGAGAGAGAGAGAGAGAGAGAGAGAGAGAGAGAGGGAATGTTTGTAACAATTATTAATTGCAATTAATTAATTTAGTCTAGTAAGGGTATTGTCTCCTGTCACTTTCTGAAATACTGTTTTTATTTTCATTATTAATAGACATACTATAATTGTTCTTGCATTTCTGAAGGATTGACAACTGTTGATAGAGAAGGTGATTTTGTTGATGCTGCTTCTGGATCATGTAATACCAAATGTCTTTCATTACCTTTATTTTTTGCTTTTTACTTTTCTGCAACTGTATTTTCTAATCTGTGCAGTGTACCTGTCACCTTGGTTATCCTCCAGTAAGTATATAATTTTCACAATTATTAAGTAATTAATACATATGAATGATATATTTAGAAGTATTTCAGGATTTACAGCAAATATTTCAGGTTTTTACAGCAAAAAAAACTACTGAATTTTATAGTAGAAATATAAATAGAAAATATAGGTTTTCTTTATACTTGTTTTTATATAACATATATAGATGCTACAGTTAGTCTCACTTTAATTTAAAAATGTACACAGTTTTGGAATTGTGTGCATTGCTCTACATATAACAAATGTAGGTATCTTTGTACCATTAACAGCATAAATTTAAAAGAAACTTTAGATTATATTTACCTTGTTGAACACACATGATAAATATACAAACAAGAAAATTTTAAATTTTAACATCCATGTGAGTGTAAATTTGACTCATTGATAATAGGTATTTAACTTTAATTTTACATTAACTTCTGGGCAATGAGAAAGCCTAAGTGTCATCCACAAAGGAACACAGTAACTTTTACACTTTCAATTTATTATTCTGAAATGACCCAACATTTGTCATTCATGTGCTCAACCAGAACATGCTAAGGCCACCTCAACTTGTTTAGGCATCATTCTAAACTTATTCTGTCAAGTAGTTAACAAGTATGTCTGTGGCTATCTATCTTATGAAGGCTGACCAACAAGGGAAAAAGAAGAGCATACTTCTGGCATGTTCTCAGTAAGTTGTAGAGTGAACATAGATACAGAAATTGTGAAGTATCCTTGAAAATATACAATTCTGATGGAAATAAAGCAGGAGATGAAAAGGAACTGGAGGGGAGGGAAAAGAGGGAGGGTTTGGTCATAACACACAATAAGCATAATGAATTTATCAGTAAACGTATGCATAATCATTGGAAGATGACATTTCTTGAAATCTCAAAATCCTGTAGATGGCAGTACAAGTTTATTTAAAGTAGGAGAGTTTCTGAAGGTTTATTACCACACAGAGCAACTAAGTGTAGTTTTCCACATCAAAAGAGAAGATAATCTTTTGAGTTTGAAGCTTGAAAATGGTCCAAATGATTCATCCAAAGATGTTAAACACAAATTGTAGATGCAAAAGATCAATTACAAGCAAAACGTTGATTTTAAAATCTAGACAATATTGTTGATCTCTTATTCAAAGTTACCACATCATGAGAAAGTATATATGCCTAAGTAAGAGATTAAAAGTAAATATTAGGAAGCATATACCTAAATACAGAGCATCAGTCGGGAAACACTGCGAATATTCAAATGAATACAGAAGAAATTGATAAATATAAAGTTACAAATTACCTATTAAATTAGCCGGGAATACATGAAAGAATCAAGAGAGATTAGTGATTAGCAATGAGATTTTCTCTTAATACAAAACGAAACAAACAAAAACCATTTCAAGCCTATTTAATTCATAAGATACAAAGAATACTTTGTATATATGAATATATAAACATAGTGTAATAACAAGTCAAAGATAGTTATGATTATTCACTAGATGTAGTGGCAAAATTCAACATCTTTTATTCAAAAAGCCCTGTGGAAACTAGAGATACAGGAAGCTAACTGCTTATATTATAATCCAATTGCCAACGCTGAGCTGATTGAAGTAATTACATACTTTTATTTACAACTCAGAATGAAACAAGAGTATCTACTCTGTTATTCTTTAAGATAAGGTTTCCAATCTCAGCCACAATTCCAAAACATGAAATAGAAATAAAAGAAGTATAAACAAAAAAAAGAAATATCATAATTTATAAATGACCTTAGGCTATGCACATGCATAACTATCTTCCCATAACCTTAAAAATTCAGTCAGGATGGTTAAGAGTTCAAGCCCAGCCTGGGCTACATAGCAAGACCATGTCTCAAAATAAATAAATAAGCAAGTGACTCTCAGTATTCAACCTAAATATAGATAGAAAAACAGTAATATACAAGTAAATATTTAAACATTAGTCAGTTTGCATAGAGAGCATGAGTGACAGATATATCAAGAACACTGTCTCATTCAGTCATCATTTAGTTGGGCCTCAGTGGGAACGGATGTACAACAACTGGATATTACAGAGTAGATTGGTACCAAAGAGAGCTTCCTCTTCTCTTAGGGGAAGGGGAGGGGTTTATGGGGGAAGGATTTGTAGGGTTGGCACTGATAAGATAGGATAAATTTAAATAAATTTTGAAAATTGTATAACATATTGTTGAAAAAAGAAATACAGATAACTTTTATTATACAATACTTTTCTTCATAAATGTATATAATAATTTGGAGGGGTTTTTTGGGTTTTTTTGTTTGTTTGTTTGTTTTTGTTTTGTTTTACTATTTCTTCTGTTCCTGCTGAAATTATTTTCTTTCCAACAAGCCTCTTCTACCATTAATGATGCCTTTTTGTGTGTGGCTTGCTCAATTAGACTTGTTTACATCAGTGGAGGTGTTTTCCTCCTTTAAATGATACAAAGTTATTTTTTATTTATGTTAATTTAGAGTTGTGAATATAATAAAGGTAACAAACGAAAGAAGGGAAAATTAGAAGTTATGATGATTCAAGTAAATAAAATTGAATAAAGTTCCAACCAAATGTAGGCTGGATGTAAGGAATGCCATTCCATTGTGTGGTATGCAGCCTCCATGCTTGGCAGGGAATAAGGATCAGAGAGAAACCCTTGTAAGGAAGAAAATTTTCTGTGGAACTCAGTCAGCTCAAGTACCCATGAGGAGAACCGTGAAGATAAAAAGTGGACTTAATCTCTCTCCTTCATTCAAAGTGCCATTTAGGTAGTACCCAATCAAAAGCCAGAATGTTAAGGGTATACTTAATGAAATAATGTATGGAGTGCAGAATTCACCACAAACAGCAAACTAGAAAAATGCAGAGTGGACTTAACAATGATGAAACTCCAGGCAATACCTGGCAGAGGGAAGAAAGTAAACATGAGAGCTAGAAAGAGCTGAGGTGTTTCAGGAAAAGGTGGCTCAGGCAGATATGATCCACAAAGTTCTTTCCCTTGGGAAAAATTAAGAAATATGGGTTTTTAGGCAGCAGGTTTAAAAAAATATACAGAAATGTATTTGTACCTGGTTCATAGGGTAAATTGAACTTTTGTCAACCAGCTAAATATTTGAGGTATAAATTAAGTATAACATATACGTAAACAACGTAAACCTAGCATGTGTCACTCATAAGTAATATCATTGCTATTTGCTTTCAGAAGTGTACCTGCCAATTTCAATTCACTGGGCCTGGGTGTGACCTATACAATTTGGAGATTCTCTGGTATGTGTTTTCAGCTATATTCAAATGTACCATATTGTTCATTTTTCATATGTAATTTTGTGTCTATATTTAAACTTCAGTTTAAATAATAATGTAAGTGATACAAAGATGAATATGATATTGCTCTGAGACATTTAATAGCCAATTAAATACAGAGAAAAATTAGGTAAAATAAAAGCCATCCAGTTAAATAAAAGACATTTAGAAACTTGCAGGCAAATGGGCATAACCAAAAGAAATTGTATTGAGTGGTGTCACCCATGTTCAAAGATATAATTCTGAATGTCTGTTTTCACATGTGGATCCTAGCTTCTGATCATTTGTAGGTTTAATCCGAAGTACAGAAAACTAGAAATGGCCCACAGCTTGATAGGATGCATTTGAGGAAGAGGGGCGGCAGATTATAGGTGAGAGTAAGGTAGAGAGGGAGAATGTAGGAAACAGGGGGGTTCAGGCAGGAAGTGAAGATGTTACATGGGCAACAATGATTTTGCAGTGTGAGTTAAAGTACATAAAAAAGAACGATAACATTCATGTGATATGAAACCATGGAGGGAAATACTGGGTGCTGTAGTTTTAAGAGGATGGAAATGAGATGGAGGGAGGAGAAATAGAGGATGAGTCCATCAAAAGTAAGAATGATAAAAGATTTATAAAATCTCACTAGCTTTTATGCTAAATTAAAATAAAAAGATATCAATAAAAAAATCTGTTTTAATTAATAGCAGTTCATTGAACAAAAAAGTTCTCTCTCTCTCTCTCTCTCTCTCTCTCTCTCTCTCTCTCTCTCTCTCTCTCTCTGTGTGTGTGTGTGTGTGTGTGTATGCACGTGCACATGCACGTTTGTTGTGTATTTCTGTACAGTTTGGTGCCACATGCAGATTCACACAGCCACTTGAGAATCTTGCAACGTATTCCCTGGGGTTAACCAAAGAATTCAATAGAGTCATAAACCACAGATTAAAATAATAATACAGTATGAAGTCATTTTTGGTCGTTAAAAATTTCATAGTTATGTGTCTTTAAAAATAGTGGGAGTTTAAAAAAACCATGTAATTTAGTTCTTTTGTTCTAAATGTGTCTGCTAAACATTCTATGCATCTTCAAGATATATTGTAAATAACAGCATTGACAGAATTTTAAAACCATTCCAAATTACTAATATAAGTATACATGCAGACATCATGATATTGATTGCCACAGTTATTGAGCCTATTGATAAAAGGGTGTTAAAAATTTTAAATAATGTGTTTAGAAAATCATTTGTGTGTATGTGTAGAAGAAATTACTCTAATTCTGTTTTTATGAAGAACTTATAATCATTGACTATTTTATAGGTTCCATTCCTGTACCAATAATTTTGGCAGTATCAGAGATTTCGTCATGTATTTACTGGGACATTAATGAATGTGGTGCCAAAGGACACTGTTGGATCTTTGATAAGCTAAAACTGGTTCGAGCATTTATGGAAATATGTAAGTGATGTAAATTGTATAAATTTAAATAATGTTGACTTTAGAATTTGCAGTAGTTTGTACCAAAGTAACAGTTAACTATGAATTAAAATTTTTGATAATTAAAGATGTGTTTGATTGTGTAGGAAGTATTTCACAAACTTGTACTACGAAATTTATTTAAATACTTATATATTGTTTTAAATACACTGTAGAGTTCTGTATTATACTTTAAGAAGGGGTGATAATTAGTATAATTTCAGTTAATTAACTTTGCCTATATATTTTTACAGCCAAATGTTTTTCTTTTCCTTATGAGTTATTTTCAAGTTTACAGTATTAAATATTAGATAAATTTTAATAAAAACTATTATAGTTTTGTGGCGGTTTAAATAGGCATCTCCCCTAAACTCATGTGTTTGAATGCTTGTACCATAGGGAGTGACATTACTAGGAGATATGGCATTGTTTGAGTGGATGTGGACCTATTAAATTTTACTGTGAAGGCAGTATTGATGTCTCCTATACTCATGTTATGACCAGTGTGGCACACGTAGTCTTCCACTCTCTGGAGATCAAGATGTAGAACTCTCAGTTCTTTCTCCATCACCATGTCTGGCTACATGCCACCATGCTTTCTGCAATTGCAATAATGAACTAAACCTCTGATATTGTAAGATAGACACAATGAAATGTTTCCTTTTATTAGAGTTTTAGTGGCTATGGTGTCTCTTCACAGCTATAAAATCTTAAGACAAAAGTTGGTACCAAGGACTAGAGTATTGTTGTGATAGGCTGGATCATGCTTATGTTTGAAAGTATATGGATTTGGGACTTTGGGTTAGGAAAGCACTGAAATGATTTAAATGCTGGTAATAGGCCATATTAATAGACACATAGAAGACAGTTATGCTGAGGGTAATTTGAACTATGGATGCTGGGTTCTAGAGGTTTCAGAGGAGAAGAATTTTAATATGCTTAGTATGTTTAAATCATACTTGTGATATTTTTGTGAAGACTGTGGCCTTTTTTGTTCTTGTCTGAAGAGTCTGCCTGAGGCTAAAGTGAAGAGATTCAGATTAATTACCTCAAAAAAGGAATTCTCAAAAAAAGCCTAAGGTAGACTATCCTGTGGTTCACTCTTATGAAGAACATTTTGATGAAAAGGAGAAAAGAAAAAATACAAAATACATAGTTCATTGAGAAAATGTCCACCAGGAAATGCAATGGAGCTAAATCTCATGTCCAAGCAGATAAATATATTAAAGACATTATGTGGAATAAAGGGATTTGTGTCATCAGGGCAAGATACCACCAAGGTAAGTTTCTGTCTTATGAAAAGGAATTAAAATAACAGTTTAGGTCCAGGAATAGTGTTACATGGCCTTAATCCCAGCGCTCAGGAGACAGATTTCTGAGGTCAGGTCAGCCTGATCTATACAGATAGAGTTGTACAAGAGTTAAGTTTAGGCCATGAAGAAAATCATCAAAACCAGAAAGCTCATGAAGATGTAATTCAATGAGGGGGCTAGCTTCTAGCCCCAACAAGTAGAAGAACTTCACAGCTTTGGACAAGTGGTTCTGGCTTTAAAATCAAGGATAGAAGAAAAAAGTTATGTAATCTTCTTCCATGCCTAAGGAGAGCTGCTAACACCAGAAATACTTCAATGTTTCCCTGCATGAAGGTCCAGAAAGGCCATAGGGTGAAGCTCTGAAGGTGAATACTTGACTGTGTTGGAGACCCCAAAATTTGGTAGATACTAAATTGGATACCTGTCAAAGAGAGCTGTTAACAGGGACAGGAAACAGCTCATCAGAAAGATATATGTTGCAATCAACAAAGGTGAAAGGAGATGGAGATTTGAAGATTACTTTGACATCAGACACAGAGATACAGTTTGGAATATTCCCAGCTGGTTTTTGGCTTTGATGTGGTTCAGTATTTCTTCACTATGCTCCTTTCCCTACGTCTTGGAATAGTAGTGTATATCCTGTGCCATGTTATGTTGGAAGAATGTGATCTGCCATTTGATTGTCATGTTACAAAAAAATAACTGTTAAAGAGATTGTGTGAATCTCAGCAGAGACTTTGAACTATGGATGTTTAACAGTCCTGAGACTGTGATAGACTATGGGGATTTATGAATTTGGACTAAATGCATTTTGCATTCTAATGCAATTATAAGCCTATGGGGGGCAGAGAATGGAATATAGTGGTATGGAACCTATAGACTCATGTGGCTGAATGCTTGGCCCACAGGAAGTGACACTATTAGGGGGAGTGGCATTGATGGAGTAGGTGTGGCCTTGCTGGAGGAAGTTTGTCACAGTAGAGGCAGACTTTGACTTCTATGCTCAAGTTATGCACTGTAGGGCACGGAGTCTCCTTCTACTTCTTATGGATCAAAATGTACAATGCTTAGTTCTATCTCCATCACCATCTCTACCTGCATGATACAATGTTTCTATCATTAGGATTATGGACTAAACCTCTGAAAATGTAAGACATCCCCAGTGAAATGTTTTCCTACATAAGACTAGCTATGGTCATGGTGTCCCTTTACAGCAATAAAATCCAAACTAAGACAAGTTGTAAATAATATCATCAAAACACTATTATTTCTCTGAAGGCTAGACTTGAAAGTTCCCCATTTGTGGTAAGATAAGACATATTATGCCAGTTTTAGTTACTGAAAATCACTTAAAACTATGAGAGAAATGATGTTCATATATGGTGGAAAGGTATTACTAAATGCTTCCTTTAAATAAAATGTAAATAGACTTAAGTAATTCAAGATAAAAATATTGGATCAAGTTACTAATATCAACACTAAGAACATATCTAAAAAGAAACTAAAAAGAAGAAAAGAATCATGCTAATTCAGATATTTTACCTAAAAGTTCAAAAATGATGGATCCCACACTATATGAATGTCAAATTCGATAAAAATATTTGTGTATAAAAGACATGGATAGTAAATGTGTTTTAAATTAATTGATAGCAGCATGTTGAACAAGAATTCATATTGTATTGTGTGCATGTTTATGTTAATTATACAGTTAGTTCTATATTCATTTTGGAATATATGCCACTGAGATGCATCTATTGTATAAGATATAACCAAGAGGATGCAAGCAGAAAACAGAATCTGAAAAATATGAATGCAGCAGAAATAAAAAAATCATAAAAATAGGAATAAATCAGAAATTCAAAGCTAACAACACAGGGGCTGAGGTGATAAATTATAACTTTAGTGGCTGGCTCATACATGCACAAAAAAAGAGCTGGTAAGTCAGAAGTTGCATCATTTCAAATTATCCAGTTGAGGAAACACAAAGCAAAGAAAATATGAAATAGTGAAGAAAAGGTATAGGAGTTCTTGGTCACCATCTAGAAATGTCAGAACAAATTGACCATCATCTAACCAACTGATGAACAGATAATGACCATATGACATTACATGGCAGATACTTTCCATCAAAGAAGAAAACATCGTTTGACAATATTGATAAACCAGAAAGACATTATGTATATTATTATTCCATTTTCAATTGTTCCATAATAGTTGAATTTAAGTATTTTATAATGAAGTTTATATAGTCCATAGTCTGAGAATTTCAAAAATAGGATTACAATTCCAAAAATGCCTTTTTACTGCACCATATCATAGTCCTTGACTTAATGTCTGGGACCTGTTTGTCTAAGACCTATCAGACTGTGAGACACAAATCTAGAAAATCTAGAATTTAGACTCATTGCTACCATGGAAAGTAACCAAGGTCAATGACTTGTAAAATTCATATCTGTAGTGTTCTCTATGAGTCATTCACTGTACTCTATGTCTTAGAAGACTCATCACCATGATATTAATGCTATGTAGTCAGCCTTCCAATGAATGAATATCCAATCTGCAGCAATCCATCCCTGGCCTCCAAGATCTATGACCTTTTCCTAATGTAAAATATAATAACCTCATCTTTATAGTACCAAGGATCCTGCAACATCTTTACAAAGTTTAAATCCAGAAGTTTATCTGAGTCACATGGAATGCACTTTCACATATCAGCTGATGTTTTAAAAAGTTACATCACTACAGATTAGGAGGGTGACAAGCACACAATAAACATCCTTAGCTCAGAGGGAGATGACAGGAGTTGTAGGTGAGCACTGAAGCCACAAGCAAGACTGAAATCCAGCCTGACAAATTTAGAATCTCAAAGCTCCAAACCCAGTGACCCATAAACACTGCAAAGAAGTGTAGCCCCTCAGCCAGCCTTTGCCCTGTGAAATACACACATTTTCTGCATTTGCACACTATAACTTTGTCTGATGCTATTGAATATTTCTGACTACTCTATCTACTATCTACTTTACAGAGTCACTTCCAAAGCTCAACTTGGTATGATCCAATTAAGCCTATTAGGCCCCAAACTTGTAGCACACTTCAGTCGGTCTCCATGATTTTCCTTTGAGAATTCTGTTGAAGCTTTCAGGATTCCCACAATACTTGTATTTTGCTTTCTGGACAACTAGGACTACTTGGTGAGATCTGCTGAGAAAATGAGTAGTGGTATTTAAGTCTGTGCCATGGCTACTGTAGTGGTACTCACTTGGCAGCAAGGAAATAAAGTTTCCCTGAACAGTAAGTCTGTTTCTGGTACCAAGGGCATCTTTAAAGGGTTCTGGAATGTTTTGGAGGCTCATTTTTCTGATGCACAACTGTCCACTCCTGTTTAGTCACACTAATCTCATTAGCTAGTCCTTACTGGGCCACACTTAAGTATTGTTCTTCCAAACATGGTTTTGCTCTTTCCTAACCAGGCTATAAACTTACCAGGTTTTTCAGTTCTGTTGCCTTTTGTTCCAATGAAATTCTAAATAAAACCAGGTAGTGCTGCCCACAGCATATCATTACTCTTTCGTTGTGTGAATATTGTCCTCTCAATATTAAGCACATCTTTGGGTATTTCTTTACACTTTGTTCTATGCAATCATTCCAGGCCAGTCTTTGTAAAACTACAACAGAATTCTCCATTCTCTCATAGATTTTTCTTGGGTGAAAGTGTGGTTTGTGGGAAACCACAACTCCCATCTGCTATTTATAATGTGCTCCATGTCACTGTCATGAAGTTCTCTTTTCCTTCAGATGCTAATTCCTTATTTCTTTAGTTACTAAACATAGAAAAATTTAGTGTATTTTCTGGATATTTTTAACTGTTGTCAGATTCATTTTTTACTCACATACCACTCTTCTTCAAAGAGTTACCAGGTATATTTTCATAATTTTTCAATCTTCTCTCAAACTTTGTGCCTCGAAATGTACATTACACTCATTCACTACTTACAGTTTTCATGGAAATATTACTTCTCTATCACAGGTAACTATATCTTTGAGATTCCCTTGTGACAAATGATATAGTCCATTTTTCAACATGAAAAAGACTTATTAATGCTTCTTGTCTTTTGAAGGGGTAATATTGGATAACTGGTATTATTTTGCTATTTTATGCCTCTAACATGATGTTTCACTTGTGAAGTTTATTTTTATGTGATAGTTTTAATATTCATAAATTTGAGATAAAAAACTGTAAAACAATTATATTAATGTTTAATTGTAGAAAGTGATCAATATTTCAAACAATTAAGCTACATAAATTTTAAGCAAATTTCAGTTCCTATTGATAGTTAAAATTTTTAAAATATTTATTTATGTACTTGCAAATTAACATAGTTCATTAAGTCATTAAACATTAATTTTTTAGAGGCTGACAAGTATGAAATATTTTGTAAGCATTTTAAAATACATAGTTTGACATAGTATTGAAAACTAAATACTTTTGTAAATGGGGAATTAACATATCCAGAAGTAAACTATATCTTTTCTTTGGGTAAATGTCATTTTTCATTCAAAAACTTTTATTTAATATGATATAGTTATACTCTGAATATTATTTGTGTTTTAATTTCAGGGGTTATTTTACAACTATTCACAAGCTTTCTTAATATATATGCCATTCACAAATATAATTATGTGGTAATGGGAAGCATTGAGACAGTGGCCAAAGCTGTAAAGAATGTGAAAGCAAAAAAAGAAGAAAAAGCTTAATTTCTAACTGATTTCCTCATTGGGTAAGAATTGTATGCTTTCTCTTTGTCAATGGAATATCATATTTATAATTTTCAAAATAATAATAGTGAATAGTTACATTTAAGATATGCTTCATTTATTTCCAATACTTTCATTTTGAGTATAATAATATAATCTTTGTTAAGATTGCTGAAGATATTAAGAAATATTCGCTTAGGTTAACTCTTAAAACATAGTGCAGATCATTTCCCCCTTTTCTTGGAAATAGATTATTTTCTCATATAATATATCCTGATTATTTTCCCTTCCCTCTACCCTTCCCAGTCTGTCCTATATCCTCTCACCTCCAGCTGCACCCTATTCCTGTCTCCTATTAGAAAAGAACAGGCTTTTAGCAGATATTAAGCAAACATGTTAAAATAGAACATAATAAGTTAAGAGAGAAACCATCACATCAATGCTGGACAAGGCAACACAACAGATGGGAAAAAATGCAGCAGAAGAATCAAGAGACCCACTCATTCTCACACTCAGGAATCCTATAAAAATAATAAGCTGAAAGATATAATACATGCAGAGGACCTGGTGGAGACCCATGTCGGCCCTGTGCTTGCTATTTCATTCTCTTTGAATTCAAAAGAAGTTTTCAGTTTATATAGAGGACCTTTGACCTCTGTCCCCTCGTGCTCTTATATTCATTCTGTCTTTTCTTCCTTGGAGTTCTGAGGAGAGGGATTTAATGAAGACATCCTATTTAGAACTGTGTGTTCCAAGGACTGACACATTTTCTCCCTTCCTCTCCTTCTCCCTCCCCTTCCCTCTTCCCCTCCCTTTCCCCTCTCCCTTTCCCTCTCTCTGAGTAATGCCTTTTCTCTGAGTAATGTCTATCTATGGATTTCCACACCTGTTCCCACCTGTTCCCATCTGCTGAAAGAGGAAGTTTCTCTGAAGATGACTGAATAAAGTACTGATATGTAAGTATAGCAGAATATCACTAGGAGTTTTTACCCTTGGTTTCTGGCCCATCTTGTCTTCAGTTCTTGGCCAACTAAACAGTGTCAGTTATGAGTTCTGTCTCATGGAATGGTCCTTAAGTCACATCAGACATTGGTTGGTTACTCTCACACCACTCTTTCCATATCTTGCAGACAGGACAGTTTGTAATCAAAAGTTTTGTGGCTGGTTTAATGTTTACATTTCTCTTTTGTCAGTCTACAAAGTACCTTCCCACACCAAAGACATTAAGAGGACCTGGTGGAGACCCACGTAAAATAAAAACATGAAGTCTCTATGAAGGCACCAGCTAGACTTCTTTATGTTTAATGTGTTGTGTGGGTGTTGTCCTTGGCAATGGTGCCCCTCTGTTAGCTTCTGGAAAGAAACCTATTATCTTAGCAACAGTCTGGGTTGTTAGAGATTTCCATAGATCCCCTTTGGTCAGCACTTCAACAGAATGCAATGCATTCCAGTTACTGGAGTCTCCTTTGAGACAAGAGATAACAAGTTGGGTCTCTGCTTCCCCCATTACAAGGAAATCTGGTTTGATTTGCCTTCCTAGATTTTAGGAAGTTTCCACTGCCCTAGATACTATTGTTCAAATGCCCCTGGTTCTAGCAATTTTTCCTTCATTTCCTCCCTCAACCATGTTTGCCCAGTTTGTTCTCACCTGATACTTACTTCCACATTCCCATCAGCCACCAGTCCACTGACAAATCTATTCATACTGCCTTCCCAGGGAGATCTATCTGTCTCCCCTGCCCTGCCCCTTGCACCTTCCTCTATACTAACCTCTGTGGTGATTTAAGTAAAAACAGCCCTCATAGGTGTAGGGTTATATTTTTCAAAACCTAATTAAATGCTTTAATTTCTATTCTAGCCCACCACCCATCTAAAGTAGTTGAAAGGAAAGGTTAATAGGGCAAAGGAGGATGTGTACCTGTTTAGAAATAGTTCTGTGGAGCAAATCCAGTCTATGTTGTTAGGATATAAGTAGTTCTGTTCATGTGAATTAACAGTGGTAGTTCAATCAACTTTCAAATACCATTCACAAATGGTAAACTGCAACAGCAGTTTGATGCAGAAGAAGCTGTGAGGCTCTACCATTTGCTCCAAGTCTTCAGAAGCTGCAAGAGGCTTTAGGAACAGCACCAGAAGGTCACTGGTGTGTTGCTCTCCATGAAGTCACGACAAACAATGCTCAGCAAGAGTGACAAGGCAAACCAATACTACACTGTGTTGTCAGTGAAGACCAGCATCAGCAAAGCCCTAGAAAGATCAGCAAATAGAGGCAAGGAGAATCAATACCACACAGCTTTATCCACTGTCTGTTGTGTTATATGTATACCCTTTCCAAACATCACATATTCTCTCAAGTATCTGCTCTAGCAAAACATCCCATGTCCTTTTTCCAGGCAGCTTCCAGAAAAATACCACATGTCTGCTCTCAGAAAAACACCCTCCCACATGTCTGCCTCAGCAAAAACATCCTCACATAAGACAATTTCAAAGAAAACACCACATGACACAACTGAGTCTTCAAACAGACCAGAAATTTTCACTTCACACAGACTCATAGGTAATGGCACTTTTAGGAAATGTGGCCTTGTTGGAGTAGGTATGGCTTTGTTGGAGGAAGGGTGTCACTGAGGGTGGACTTTGAGGTTTCATATGTTTAATTCAGGCCCACTGTTACTCTCTATTCCCACTGTTTGCTGAACATAATGTAGAACCCTTAGCTGCCTCCCCAGCAACATGTCTGTCTGCTGCCTGCTGCCTGCTGCCTGCTGCCTGCTGCCTGCTGCCTGCT